AAAGTAAATAAATTGAATCCAGTACATATGTTTTGTATTACTTGTTCTTCTATTGTTCTCATTATTACATGTTTTGGTAGGGGGTGACAAGACTTTCCGACCACTTTGTAGATTCACCTAAATTCTGGGGTATTTGGTCAAATGTTGAACTTTTCAAAACTTTCCTTACTAATCAATATGCTAAAACCCTTATCGACGATATTACATATATTAAACACATTAAACCCTAATCAAGTTTCGGTTACTCGAGATAAGAATTAAATTTTATTTATATGTTAACAACTTAGTTGTCAACTGTGAACAGTTTCATTTTTCCCACCCGTCAGATGCCGACACTCAAGTCAGAGTGTAACCAAAAAAAGAAATCAACTAGAAAAACAGAATATATTTAAAGTATGAAAAAAAGACGTCAGAATTATTTTTTTTTTTTGTTTTTTTTGTGCAACGAAAATGATGATCTTCATACAGACCTTCTTGATGTGTGACAGCGTCAATGAAAGCGACTAAACTGAATCGCGTACATTTGATTTGTATTACTGTATTACGTTTTCTATTGTTCTCATTACTTTTAGAGAGGCGATGACAAGATTTTCGGACCAACCTGTACTTAGTAAAACCGGTATATCACTCGTTGCCTTTCCTTGTCTCACTTTCCCTCTATCCGCCTAGTGAGTATCAGATTCTCCAATCATTCTTTTCTCGTTACATGTCCCAGAAATTTCAGTTGTCTCTTGCTGACTTCTTGTTTTACTGTTCTCATTACTTTTTTGGGAGGCGATGACAAGACTCTCGGACCACCCTGTTCATAGTAAAACTGGTATATCACGCGTTGCCTTTCCTTGTCTTTCTTTCCCTCTATCCGCCTCGTGAGTATCAGATTCTCCAATCTTTCTTTTCTCATTACGTCTCCCAGAAATTTCAGCTGTCTCTTCCTTACTTGTTCTTTTACTGTTTTCATTACTTTTTTGGGAGGCGATGACAAGACTCTCGGACCAACATGTACTTAGTAAAACTGGTATATCACGCATTGCCTTTCCTTGTCTCTCTTTCCCTCTATCCGCCTCATGAGTATCAGATTCTCCAATCTTTCTTTTCTCATTACGTCTCCCAGAAATTTCAGCTGTCTCTTCCTTACTTGTTCTTTTACTGTTCTCATTACTTTTTTGGGAGGCGATGACAAGACTCCCGGACCACCCTGTTCATAGTAAAACTGGTATATCACTCGTTGCCTTTCCTTGTCTCACTTTCCCTCTATCCGCCTCGTGAGTATCAGATTCTCCAATCATTTTTTTCACATTACATATCCCAGAAATTTCAACTGTCTCTTCCTTACTTGTTCTTTTAATGTTCTCATTACTTTTTGGGAGGCGATGACAGGATTCTCGGACCACCCTGTTCATAGTAAAACTGGTATATCACGCGTTGCCTTTCCTTGTCTCTCTTTCTTTCTATCCACCTCGTGAGTATCAGATTCTCCAATCATTTTCTATTTCAACCTTCTGTGGTGGGTATTATCAAGGAGAGAGTTTCACATGAACGATGCCAGAATATCCATCAGCTGAAGAACTTTTGCAACAATCGACAAAGCACTGCTTTGTAAGGTGTCATTTTGTGCCACGAAAATGATGGTGTTCATACAGACCTTCTCGAGTGTGTGAGCGTCAATGAAAGCGACTAAAATGAATCCCGTACATTTGCTTTGTATCACTATATGACTTGTCCTTCTATTGTTCTTATTACTTTTTTGGTCGGGGTAACAAGACTTTCGGACCACCCTGTAGATTACCTTTTGTTTATTTGTTTGTCTCTTTATCTATTATATATATATATATATATATATATATATATATATTGTCAAGAGGAATGGAAAAAAAACATTCGCCATTTACGTCTGTTTCATGAACGAATTTTGCTTGAGGCGACAGGGAAACAGGAAAATGCGTGGGTGTGTTAAAAAGAAATATAGGTGTGTCTTTCTTTACGATGTGGGTGTCCCATACTCACCGAGGTCACGCGTTTCTTTTACATTAGTGTCTTGTGAATGCCGAAATTTCCATACATAGTAATTACTTTCTTCCTCAAAATGCCCATTTTGTATGAATAAAGATTTAAGAACAAAGACATCAACATATTTATTTTAACTTTCTTAAAAAGCAAGTGAATAGCAAATTTTAGGAGCGAATGTAATTTGTATGTCTTCAATTATCGTCTGTCAGGGTTCATTATTGGCGGCCACAATCTTAACTTTAGATATTGCTGGTGATAGAGCGTTAATAGCAGACACTGAAAGTAAACTACATTAACTTCGACAGAAGTTAGAGAAGGAAAGCGAGAAGAAAGGACTAAGTATCATCTGTAAGAAGACAGAATATATGTTTGTTTGTTTTTTTCAGAAAAAAAAACAGCCCAACATGCGAATTAAAATTGGAAACACCAAAATCTAGAAAGTACAAAAATGTAAAATAAATGTTTTAACAGAGGACGGAAAATGCGACACTGAAATCCGATGGGTAACGAAAGATGCCTTCCAAAAACGAAGTATCAGGAAAAAAAAAACCCCAAAAACATGAGAAACGAAGAAAAAAGAGAAGTATTGATTTGTATGTCTCTCTATATTTCTGAGATGAGGTATTATGTACATTATTTACATTATTCGGACTATTGTCCTCATCTTTGTCGCCATATTTATTACAACGTTTCGGCCTTTCAGTATCTGTCTATATTTCTGATAGAGGTATTATATACACTATTTACATTATTCGGACTATTGTCCTCATCTTTGTCGCCATATTTATTACAACGTTTCGGCCTTTGAGTATCTGTCTATATTTCTGAGATGAGGTATTATGTACATTATTTACATTATTCGGACTATTGTCCTTATCTTTGTCGTCATATTTATTACAACGTTTCGGCCTTTCAGTATCTGTCTATATTTCTGAGATGAGGTATTATGTACATTATTTACTTTATTCGGACTATTGTCTTCATCTTTGTCGCCATATTTATTACAACGTTTCGGCCTTTCGGTATCTGTCTATATTTCTGAGATGAGGTATTATGTACATTATTTACTTTATTCGGACTATTGTCCTCATCTTTGTCGCTATATTTATTACAACGTTTCGGCCGTTGTACGCTCCAACCTTCTTCAGGTGGTTGGAATGTCGATTTGAACCCTTTATTTCGCTCACTGGAGTAGACTGTTCTAGTTCCACGTGCCATGTTTAATGGATGTCAGTTGTCAGTTATCTCCTGTTAATTCCCCCTCTCCAAGTTCTCCACTGCCTTAAGCGGGTATTAAACTCACACTCTTTGGGTCCTGGCTCAGTGGATAAAGACGTTGGTTAGATCCAGTGACAGGACCCAAAGAGTGTGAGTTCAATACCCAGTTAAGGCAGTGGAGAACTTGGAGAGGGGAATTAACAAGTGATAACTGACATCCATTAAACATGGCACGTGGAACTAGAATAGTCTACACCAGGGAGCGAAATAAAGGGTTCAGTCGACATCCCAACCACCTGAAGAAGACCGGAGCGTGCAACGGTCGAAACGTTATCATAAATATGGTGACAAAGATGAGGACAATAGTCCGAATAATGTAAATAATGTACATAATACCTCATCTCAGAAATATAGACAGATTGTATCTCAATAGGAATAAGCAAATTGAGGTTGATTTTTTTTTTAAATTTAGTTCATTTCGCATACATATGGATAAAATATCACAATCAAAATAATATTAAAATAAGATAAATTTTAACAGATAATACCAAAATAGTATATAGGTCTCATTATAAAAAAAACGATTATATATATATATATATATATATATATATATAGATAGATAGATATATAGATAGATAGATAGATAGATAGATATAGATATAATATATATAATGAAAGGGATGGATTTTTTTTTATTTATTATATTATACTATTCGAACTATTGTCCTCATCTTTGTCGCCATATTTATGACAACGTTTCGGCCGTTGTACTCTCCGGCCTTCTTCAGGTGGTTGGAATGTCGAACTGAACCCTTTATTTCGCTCACTGGGGTAGACTGTTCTAGTTCCACGTGCCATGTTTAATGGATGTCAATTATTAGATATCTCCTGTTAATTCCCCTCTGAAAGTTCTCCACTGCCTTAACCAACGCCTTTATCCACTGTGCCATGAAATTCTGGGTATATTCATTATATTACTTAAACCTTATTTTAGTGAATACCCGTATTTGAGTAGACGCCCCGTTTGTTTATTAAACAGTATATTTATTTTCGTCTACTGGCCCGAATATTCGAGAAAACATAATAGAGAAAAATATGCGCACTCAGGCAGGATTCGAACCTGCGTTCCCCTAGGAGAAACCTTCATTAGATCAGACGTGTTTTGAACCACTCGGCCGCGGAGTGCGTTGTCCCTTTCTTTAGCAATTGCTTTGTTTACTTCAGGAAACGAAACCGGGTAGATATGTCAATTTCGAGAGCCGGTTAGAAATTTGTGTTTAAAGGAACTTTTCAAATTTGCTCGACGATCGTTCGCACTCCGTGGCCGAAAGGTCAAAGCACATCAGATCTAATGGACGCGGGTTCGAACCCTACCAAAGAGCGCATATTATTTCTCTAATAAGATTTCTTGAATATTCGGCTCGGTAGACGAAAATAAATATATCGTTTAATAAATAAACGGGGCGTCGACTTAAATACGAGTATCCACTAAAGAATAACGTTTAAGTAATAAATAATAACATTAAATAATATCATCTGTCGGATTAATAAATAAAAATTGATTCCTTTCTTTATATATATTAATTTCTTTTTACAATGAGACCTATATAATATTTTGGTGTTAAATTTGTCTTATGTTAATATGATTTTAATTGTCTGTGATATTTTGATCTATATGTGCGCGAATTGGACTAAATTTTGACAAATCAGCCTCAATTTGAGACATTAATGTTGCTTGTTGATTAGATAGATAGATAGATAGACTGGTAGATTTAGATAGATAGATAGATAGATAGATAGATAGATAGATAGATAGATAGATAGATATGAACAGACTGAGACAGATAGAAAGATATGAACAGACTGAGGTAGATAGATAGATAAATAGATAGATAGATAGATAATGAACAGACTGAAATAGATAGATAGATAGATAGATAGATATGTACAGACTGAGATAGAAAGATATGAACAGAGATAGATAGATAGATAGATAGATATGTACAGACTGAGATAGAAAGATATGAACAGAGATAGATAGATAGATAGATAGATAGATAGATAGATAGATAGATATGTACAGACTGAGATAGAAAGATATGAACAGAGATAGATAGATAGATAGATAGATAGATAGATGTACAGATATGAGATAGACTGAGAAGATATGAAGAGACTGAGATAGATAGAGATAGATAGATAGATATGAAGAGATGAGAGATAGATAGATAGATAGATAGATAGATAGATATGTACAGACTAGATAGATAGATAGATAGATAGATAGACAAGAACATTAATTATTCCCCTGTATAAGAAAATCATCGCCTTTTATTCCATCCTTATCAATATTCTAATCGGGAAAACCTATATCCTCACGACACGAAACACAACCATGTCTTTTTATTGAACTGAGAATGGAACGATGAGTCATTATGTGTTTCTCCATTATGGCCAACCCATTCGAATGAATAGTTATTCAGCTGCCACCATGTCCTTATCGATATCCGGTTCCGCATACCCCACGGCATAAAGCATTATACTACAATACCCTGTATCCTCATAGCGGCCAGATCATATTTATTATGGATAAGAAATATATCTGGGAAAACTATTGAATTATAATTTATAGCTGCGGATGCTAAGTATCGTAGTTGAGTCGTTAGAAAGTTCGTTTTCCGACCATGAAACCCGGCTTTGAATCTCATCATGGCTGATTTTTGTCAGGAAAGTGACTTCTTGGTGTTATTGTGATCGGGCGGCGGTACCAGGTTGCTGCACCGTTTCCTGAAACCACACCCACGGGTTGAGCCAAGCCTTGTGTAGGCACAATTTTTCGTCGATGGTTGTGTTATCACGAAATCAAAAGTCATCCCGACTGAGCATTTGATCGCATTCAACATATCCAGAAAGATTTCACTGTACAATGAGGAATGACTCTGTACTGGATCAATCCCACTCTCTTCAAGCGCCCTACGAGGCTGGCATCCCGCTCTCACCCTTTCACTGTCGAAACTCCTAAATGTGGCCGTCTCTTCTGCTCCAATAGCTTCATGTCTCGCACCTCTCGTCTGTGGAACTCCCTTCCCTATTCCAGTCTCCCTGAGAGCTATAATCTCCAACTATTCAATTGTAATGTCAATCGACATCTCCAGTTGCCTTGATCTATCCACTATCCTTCTCCTCATTCTTTCCTCTATCACCCCTATCTGATGTTCTGTAACCCCTTGCGTCCTAGTGGCTTTACGCCTTGCTTGGGGTGAAACGCTTAAAAAAAAATGTGTGTTTAGGTACCTCCACTAAATCAATAACAAAACAGCATAGTATGAATAAAAAATATACATATATATGAATAAGTATGAATAAAAAAGGTCTCAAACTTAATAAAACAAACTTTTTCCATCAAAATGTTTATATTTTTATTAAGAGGAAAGTTCAAAGTAATTTTTAATTATTTTTTTAAATGTTTTAATCCCTTCGAACATTTTCGAAATTTTGTCAGAAAATTAACCAGAAAGCACTCATGCACTTTTCAACATCCTACTTGTGTGAATTTGGATTTTCAGTTCTGACAACCATCAAGCGTAAGAAGCGAGCACAATTGCTGTCTGTGGAAGATGAACATGACCCAATATTAAAGATTTGTACAAGAAACATCAGGCTCAAGTTTCTCATTGAATTTTTAATGAAAATAAATGTAATCCATTTAAACTGAAGTTTTTTAAATGTGTAATAACCGTAGAAACAAGATTAAAATTGCATATGGACGTATACAATATTTTGACAGTTTGTCTTTGTATCTTTTTGTAAATAAATCTGAAGATGAGTATTTTTATTTTATTTTAATAATTGAAAGCTTTTTTTTTTTGCATAAGACAATTAATTTATTGCAGGGGTTCCTCGAGCCACTGGGTGGTTCCGCTCCAGCAAAAAGGTTGAAAACCACTGTGCTATGGCCATTCATTCTCTGGCTCAGATGTGGGATTTATGTTGTTCAAACTGGTGATCACGCCAAATTATTCGTTCTCTCCCAGAAAATGTAGCTTACGTCCGCTCAGCGATTTTTTTTTTTTTTTTTTAGAAATCATTTCGACCCAAGCCAGGTAATAAAGCCACACATTCACAAAGTGTTACTGAGTGTGAGAGTATTTGAGAAAAAGAAAACATTATTAAAAACTGACATCAATGACTTTTAAAACAAACAGGCGCCATGAAGCCTGAAAGGCATAAGGTTGCATAGTGCGGTGAACGGGTGGTGGCAGCTTTGGAGTTGTGACTGACAAGTAAACAAGATTTATCAGCTAAACTTGTAGCAATTTGGCTTAATCACTTCACCCCAAACAAGGCGATAAAGCCACTGATACGCAGAAATTTACTAAGTGTGAAAGAATAAAATAAATTTAAAGTGATGAACGAACAAGAACAATAAAGAACAGAAAGGTTTAATTTATTTTGGTTTATACTGTTTTATGGCACGTCGACTTCAATGGGTCATGCTGACAAGATTTTTATCGCTGGTAATATTATTTTTTTTCAAAAATGTATTGCAGGTAATAATAAAAAAAATATTCCTGTTTATTTTTACAAGAAAAAAAATATTTTTTACACTTTCATGGTGTTTTGACCCCAGTTTTGTGGGGTTAACTATTTGCCCATAGCAGGGCCCTAACAGGTTTGGCCACCCCGGGTCAGGGTGGACCGAGAAACAACAGCAATTAAGAAGTGGTTCCACGCTCTTCAAAAATTCCCGATCAGAGTCCTTGCTGCCGGATGCTGTTTATCGTCAAACCCAGGACGACAGAAATTAAGAAGGCAGAACGTAACGACAGACATTTCTTTTACATTTTTGAAGATCAAACTTGACTGGAAAGCAAGAAGCCAGAAGAGAGTTCCACAAGGGAAAAGTGTGAAAGAAGATACTTAGCATAGCAGTTACATGTAAGCGTTTCAGCTGTCAAATAATGAAACCTAACCGACAATCTAGTACCGCGCTTAAATTCATAAAGTCTAGGCACCATAGAGGAAAGAGCATCCGAATAATTACCATGAAAATATTTATAGAAAAGGCAAAGAGGGAGTATTGCTGCTATATATGGTCTGGCGCCCCTTCTGTTTGCCTCGGGGTTCTTGATAGGCTCCAGAGGCGGATATGCAATATAATTGGCCCTGCTCTGGCATCTCGTCTACAGTTACTTTCTCACAGACGCACCGTCAACTCTCTCTGTCTGTTTTACAAATACTTTCATGGCAATTGCTCCGAGGAGCTGCATTCGCTCGTTCCCAGACTTCATGAGTTCAAGCGCCCTACGAGGCTGGCATCCCGCTCTCACCCTTTCACTGTCGAAACACCTAAATGTAGCCGTCTCTTCTACTCCAATAGCTTCATATCTCGCACCTCTCGCCTGTGGAACTCACTTCCCTATTCCAGTTTCCCTGGGAGCTATAATCTCCAGCTATTCAAATGTAATGTCAATCGACATCTTCAGTTGCCTTGATCTATCCACTATCCTTCTCCTCATCCTTTCCTCTATCACTCCTATCTGATCTTGCTCCAAATCTTTTGTAACCCCTTGCGTCCTAGTGGCTTCCCGCATTGCTTGGGGTGGGACGCTTAAAAAAAAAAAAGAAGCAACGTTACGACCGTGGGAAAATAACTGAAGCCGAGATGCCAGGTCAGGATTGATAACATTACAGATTCTTTGTATTTTACCAAGACTCTGTAAATACACAGTAGAAGCCCTAAACCAGATGGGAGGGCAATGTCCAAAGCAGGGAGGAATGGTAGATTGTGTAAGATAATGTAATATAGATTCTAGCGAGAAAAGTTATCTTGCACGACACAGTGAACCAAGCGTCAACCAATGGCAATATAGACAACAGTTCGACTCGGCGTGTTGAGCAGCTGTTTGCAACAGGGATTCTTTAAGCGACATAGCAGATGGGTGTGCTCGGAAACGTAGAGTCGGCCATTATTATAATTATCATCACTTTATTTCGATTTCTGTTATGGTCACACTACCTACCAAGTCTTCGGGAGGGCCCAAGTCAGATAGTGGTGAGTTGATATGGTAACATTTCATGATTTGTTTCTCTAACTCCCATAACATCACTAGCGTTACATAAACAAAGTTCTTCAAAGTTGTGTGAGCAGTACTTATCAAGACAATTTGGGGGATTTTTCTGAAGCTGGAATTTCCAGGGATTTTTTAATGTTTTTTTTTGTGTTCCTTTTTTTATCATTCCAAACAAACCTACTACGACTGGTACTATTCTTGTTTTCAGTTTCCACGTTTTTTCTATTTCATTATTATTATTATTATTATTATTATTATTATTATTATTATTATTATTATTTTCTTTGATTTCTGGTGTGTACTCCTTTCTTTCCGGGTCCCGACCAGAGACCTAAGGTCAGAAATGGCCTCATGACATTTTCCACTGACCAATTAAAAACACACACGCATACATATTTTACATAGATAAATCCCTTCGGAAGCTGTGGGCTGTATTCGTGAGAACAATTTTTTGTATTTTTTTAAGACAAGAATCCCTTCAATGGATCTACTGGAACCATTTTTTCCAACCAATCCGAGTGCTCCAACTACAACATTATTATTATTATTATTATTATTATTATTATTAAATGAGAGAGTAAATATCCGAATATACGATGCCCAATATAACCAACATGGTACTCATACTGAGAAGGATATACCACGCACAAGCATCACAGCCAAATGTGGGCGATATGTTGACAATTTTTCCCTTCGTGATTCATACGACATGATCATTCGATGCTTTGGATTTACTTTTGATGACTCTTTATTCTCCAACTAAGGACAATTTAAATTTTCAAGCTTTATACCTACAGGATATTTATTATTATTATTATTATTATTATCATCATCATTCGATTTCTGCTATGGACACACTACCTACCAAGTCTGCGGAAAGACCTAAGGCAGGTCGTGGTGTGTTGTTATGGCCACATTTCATGTTAATTTTTTTTTTTTTTTTATCTCCGATGAAGTTGCTAGCGTTACATAGACAAAGTTCTCCTTAGTGTGTGTGCTGTACTTAATAAAGACAATTTTCTGTATGTCTCTTAAGCTGGGGTTTCAGGGATTCTTTCAATGTGTTGTTTTGTTCCATTTTTTATAATTCCAAGTGCACCTATTACCACTGGTATTATTCTTGTTTTCAATTTCACATTTTTTCTATTTCAATTTCCAGGTCTTTGTATTTTGATAGTTTTTCAAATTCCTTGGTTGCTATGTTACAATCCGCTGGACAAGCC